TGTGCGAGTCGTAATTTAGAATCTAATTATATTTGTCAAATTATAGGCGTTATAAATTTTAAAATCAAAAGTATTTACCGTAATTTATTTTTATATAAGCATGACACGTAAGCAAAATTATAACTCACGAGATCGCGACATGTATATAATATTGATCAGATGATGAATGTGTTAAAACTTAAAATTAATTAAGAAAAATAAAATTTAAAATAGAAAATAGTTGTCAAATTACTTATCAAATAATAAAAATAAAATTTCTAAGACTATCCACACTAATTAAGAAACAAAAGTTAAGATGAAATATAGATATTACATAAGCCATAAAATAAACAAATAATACGTACATAATAAAAATGTCAATTAAAATAATTAAAAATACGAATGATAAAAAAAGGTATATAAATTGGAAAAACAAAAGTTAGAAAGGTTATAGAAACTTCAATTTAAAAGTTAAAATATATACACAACCACGTAAAAATAAAATAATAAAAAAATCTATAAAAATACTTATTTTATCAATATAGAGTTATAGAATATCACATAGAAAATGAAACTTTTCGACCTATGACACCATTGGTATTCTCCAAGTGTATATATTGAAAATTATATAAGTTAAAAAATAATAATATTATATTTACTATTAAGTTAATATTGTATAAAGTTTGGCGAGTATAAACATTTATGATAAATAAAATGATGACATTAATAAAATACAATTATTAATCATATACTTATATAATGGTTCACAACATTATTTGTAGTTTTTATGAGGTAACTAACATAAATTTTACTTTTTATGATTTAACTATATAGTATTTTAATTATTTTTATTTCTATCACAAAATTCATAAATATTCATAATGGGTAAAATATATTTTTTTATATTATTAAGAATATGATTTAAATTCCGATTATATATATTTTTGGATTTGCATGATATGAATTAAAATATGAAAATTATTATATAAACTGACTTTTACTAGTGTTAGAATCTACGTTAAATAGTATT